GATGAACAGCATGTCATGAAAACCTAGGTCCTTAAAGGATGTCATGAATTACTTGCTTAAACATTAAAGTGTTAGTTCCATTAAAGCTTCATGCAATAATGTGAGAATCATCTCTACTACTAAACTAAACTAAAACCCACAGCTGATGATTAAAATGGACCCCTATCAGTTCTGGTAAATGTGACCACAACGTTCAGAATTACAGTCGGCACACAATGTCATTTATGCATCAATTTTGCTGACTCACACATTTCCACGGTCAGACCACATCCTTTGAGTGAACACATAAAGGGGAGAACATCGAAATGGGGGGGACGAGCTCATCGCCAGATCAAAGACAAAGACAGGAGGAGATGTTCGCTCTGAGGGGTTTCGTTGCTTTCATCCTCTGCGTCTTTCTCCTTGTTGTAAACTCAGGTGATGCTTTCTTTTATTAGTTTATTGTAGTAAATAGTATTGTTCATAATTTATCCACTTGTTAGAATTGTTGTTGGGTTATTTCTATACTTTCTGTGTTAGGTCATGGATCTGAGATCATCAATGGGAAAGAAGTGCAGCCCCACTCACTGCCTTACATGGCTCTGTTGGAGACAACCCAACCAATGTGTGGAGGGATTTTAATTGATCTGAAATGGGTTCTGACTGCTGCACACTGCAACAAGTAGGAACTTTGATATTTTGTGCATTTAACTTTTTTTTACAAAGCAAATTTCCAATCATGCTCTCATATTCCAGTCCACTGTTGAGTATAAAAAAGTTAAAAACACATTTTTCCCCTTCATTCTTTGCTTACATCTACTATCATCATTTCAGGATTTCTTCTTAGACAAGTGGAAAGTTGCAAGTTGTTGGCAAAAGTTTAATGAATGAAAAGTCCACCTGAATTTTCTCAGAATGACTCACAATACGGCAGCTCAAACGAAGATCTTAAATTTTGTAAAACGTTTATTCAACCACYCAGAGTAGTTCTTTGATGAGAGTAGTTGTGTTTTTACTGCAGCTAACATGAAGCACAGAGTGGTTTGAAGCTGTGTCACAGTGAATGGTCAGTTGTGTCTGAGCACACGATGCTATCTTCCAGCAAAAGAAAATGGGTGACAAAAATGTAAGTCGCTTGAAGAAACCACAGAAACCACCTGGTTTCAGACAGGACGGGCTTTTCGTGAAACATCTTAAGTTTCACTTCACAGATGTGCAACAATAGATTTTTCTTCAAAATTTTCCTCACAAATTAAGGTGTGTTTGCTGTTGTTTAATTGTAGCATATTTTAGACCAGTGTGAACAAAAATAGAGTCAAACTTCACGTTTCAAATACAGAAATCACAAGACAAAATCAATTCTCGCAGGACTACTGAAGCCATTTACTATTTTACATCATTCTCAGATATTAGAAACACATGGCTGCTTGTTAGGTTAAAATTTCACTTAGTTCTGAAATAAAGACTAAGAGGCTGATTTATCAATACTCAGTTCTTCAAAAAAATGCTTGTAAAGCTCATTAATTAAGAGAGCAGCAAGAACTGCGTCTGTCACATGAGCAAAATATAGCAGCAATAATCCATTTAGTAAATTTGCCTTCATGAATAAACAGAGTAGATGATGATTATCAGAACTTGCAAAATACTGGGCTATGCAGGATATAATCATTCAGCTGCTGCAGTGGGATTTATCGAACCTGAAACTGGTTGCACTGTTGTTTTAGCATCAAAAACTGTCCATCTTACCAAGTTTTAAAATCTTATATCAGCCAAAAAGTCTTTTTGATCTTGTTTTGAGACTGATTTACTAAACAAGAACTGATTGTGTAAGAATAAT